AAAAAAAAAAAAAAAAAAAAAAAAAAAATCAAGATTTTCATTTTGGTAACAATTTTTCCATACTGTTTTTGGGTCACTTCGGTGTCCAATCTTGTACCTTGCCTGTGCTCTCTCTCTCTCTCTCATTCTCTCACGGAAAGCTTCGAGTGTTTTTTCGTTGGCTTCAAAATCCCACATTCCATCAACTCTTTCCACTACAAATTTTGTTCTTAGGGTTAATTTTTTCTCGATTTCTTCGCTTTTTCCATCGCCTCGAGCTGTGATCTTTCTCCAAAAGCGTAATAGAACTTTCCCCACTCCATTTCGCCTCCCCCTTTCCTCTGTTTTTTGTGAAAAACTTGCTGTTACTTATCAATCGCTTGCTTGAAATATTATCTGTTCTTGTTTGTTCGGATTAATTTCTTGATTTTTGATCCCCTATTCGGTGCTTGCCTTTGCGTCAGGAGGAAATTTACTCGAAGTAAAAGTAAGCTTTTGTTTGAAGGTTTTCTCTCTGTCTTTGTACATAGATTTTGCTGTTCATTTGCGTCTTCTCAACTTTTCTTCTGAAAATCTGGCTTTTCCTCCTGGAAAATGGTGGGATTTGGTTAGATAATGTAAGAAATATCCGGGTTTTGCTACAGAGTTTGGTATTTTGTAAATTTATGTTACTTTTTCTTTGAGGATTTTCATCGAACACCTTGCCTGCAAGTTCGAACTCTCAGTTCTTCTAGTTTTCTGCATCTTCCATTTGAAAAACATGGGTTGTATACACACAAAATGTTGCTGTCGCTACCCAAAATCATTGGTTGGAGAATCCCAAGACTTTCATGAAGAAGATAAGAACACAGTGATCGAAAGATCATTGGAGTTCATTCCTGTTGCTTCCCACAACTATCATTTGGAATACTTGGTGCTGTCTCGGCGTGGGTTCTACCCTGAATCCCCTGATAAAGAAAATCAAGACAGTTTCTGCATTAGAACAAGTATTCAAGGTAACCCAAATGCTCATTTCTTTGGTGTTTTTGATGGGCATGGTCAATTTGGAATGCAGTGTTCAAATTTTGTGAAGGATAAGCTAATAGAAAAGCTTTGTAATGATCCCAAATTGTTGGATAATCCTATACAAGCTTATAATTCAGCATTTTTGTGTACAAATGATGAGCTGCATACAAGTGAAATTGATGATTCAATGAGTGGAACAACTGCTATTACAGTTCTTGTTGTTGGGGATACCCTTTATGTGGCCAATGTGGGCGATTCAAGAGCTGTAATTGCAGTTAAGGAAGGGAACCGTGTCCTTGCCAAGGACTTGTCAAACGATCAAACACCATTTAGAAAGGATGAGTATGAGAGAGTGAGGCTGTGTGGGGCTAGAGTTCTTAGTGTTGATCAAGTGGAAGGGCTTATAGATCCTGATATTCAGTGCTGGGGCGACGAAGAGAGCCAGGGCGGCGACCCGCCTCGACTCTGGGTTCAAAATGGTTTGTATCCTGGGACTGCATTTACCAGGAGCATAGGAGATAGTACTGCAGAGAAGATTGGTGTAATTGCTGTTCCTGAGGTTTTAGTTCTTCAGCTTAAGGCTAATCATCTGTTCTTTGTGGTTGCTAGTGATGGAGTTTTCGAGTTCCTTTCGAGTCAAACTGTTGTTGATATGGTACGTAATGTGATCGATTTCTATTCTAACTGTCATGATATCTCGATTTCCATGTTAAAGTTTTGTAGATATGAAGCTCGTGTTAAAATTTCTGATGTTTTCTTTTTGTTCGTATAGGCATCAAGTTATGCAGATCCTCAGGATGCGTGCACTGCCATTGCGGCCGAGTCGTATAAACTATGGATGGAACATGAAAATCGAACCGATGATATCACGATCATTATTGTTCATATAGAAGGCTTGTCTAATGTATGAAATTGACGATGATTATTTCGGCCATTTTTTGTTCTCGAATATGATGATGATATAGTTTTTGACGGCCGAATGCAGGATTATATTGGATATGAAAAAAGAAGAAAAAGTTATGACACATTTTGATATGAGCCTATATTTTGATATGAAAATTAATGGTTCAATGCTTAGCTTTCTCATCCCTATCAATTCATTAGTTCCTCCCTCCCTTGTTTGAGTGGTTCTAACTCGACATAATATTGGAGATTGCTTCTTTGAGAATCGATTTCTCAAATCTACCTACCGAACCAAACTCTCAAGATGTCGTTGCAACAAATCAGAACCCGACAATTGTGGTTCTAACTCTAGCTAATGAGAGACCTTTATAATGGTTAAATTTAGAGCCTACATAGAATGAAAAAAAGTGTTGTAAGCACTTAAAAAGTTATTCCAAACTAACTTGTAGGCGCTTTTTCTTACGGAGAAAAGCTTGTTTCTTCAAATTTTAGCGTGCTGTAACATCCATCCACTAGAATAAGAGACTTGCTACAAAACCGAAAAGGTAATATGTGAGATCCCACATTGATTGTAGAGGGAAATGAGTGCCAACCAGGACGTTACGTCCTGAAGGGGGGTGGATCATGAGATCCCACATCGAAAGTGGATCATGAGATCTCCGGGGTGGAGGAGAACGAAAAATTCTTTATAAAAGTGTAGAAACCTTTCCCTAAGGAGGCATTTAAAAACCCTTGTGCTCTTGAATTTCTGATCTCACTTTGTTTATATACTTCACAAAGAGAAACAATTACTCATCTTCCAGCTTAGCACTGGACCAACTAAGTTGATAGAGACAGAGAAGGTTGATAAGAGATCGAAAGAGAAAATCTACAGTCCCATTAAAATGACAAGACAAAGAAGAGAATTTAATGAGGTGGGTTAACTTCAAAGCTCAATGATAAACAAGTTTCAGACCCCACTCTTGTTACCTTGTCTCTTCAATTCTGGCTGGCATGGTATGGTACATAGAGAAAACTTCCCCCTTTTTTTCTGTTGCTTAAGGTAGATCCATCCCATGATAAGTGTCATGTCAGTAGCTTAGTAAACTTGTGGCTGATCATCACCAATTGTTGGTCGGAGGGCCCTGAAAAATACATGAGTTCAAACAAATTTCTTATTTCAATGGTGTTGTGTGATTCAAATTCTCAAATCTCAGGTCACTAGCAGAAGTAGGACTAACATAAGCATAGCTCGACAGCAACTATCAAAAAGAGGTAACTAGCAGCTAATATATAATCTTTTGTTGTATGATTCTAATTCTCAGATCTCAGGTCACAAGTAGATATAGAACTAACATAAGCATAGCTGGACAACAACCAAGATATACTCTTTTTTGAGGTAACGAGCAGCTAATATATACTCTTTTGTTGTATGATTCAAATTCTCAGATCTCAGGTCACGAGCAAAAATAGGGCTAACATAAGCATAGCTCGACAGCAACTAATACATACTCTTTTTTGAGGTAACGAGCAGCTAATATATACTCTTTTGAGGTTCAAATTCTCAGATCTTAGGTCACGAGCAGAAATAAGACTAACGTAAGTATAGCTCAACAGCAACTAATATATACTTTTTTTTTAGGTAACGAGCCGCTAATATATACTCTTTTGTTGTATGATTCAGATTCTCAAGATCTTAGGTCACTAGCAGAAATATGGGTAATATAAGCATAGCTCGACAGCAACTAATATATACTCTTTTTAGAGGTAACGATCGGCTAATGTATACCCTTTTGTTGTATGATTCAAATTCTCAGGTCACGAGCAGAAATAGGGCTAAGATAAGCATAGCTTGACATAATGATAAGATTTCCAGAACAATCAAGCTTTTAGATATCTAAAATTACGTTTAAACGAGTCAATACAACAAAATTGTGAATGAGTAAAGCCAATATCTTAGATGTAATCTGGTACACTATGCTCCTTTCCAGAACCTTCACTTGCCATGGCCAGTTTTCCTTCTCTCATTGCAAGCCTTCAAAGCTTGAACTTCTGCCAGAAAAATCAGTGGAGAGATCATGAATTAGAAGAACAGTCATTTTAGATGAAAATTTAAGGGATTACTCAAAATAGACATTGAAATTTAAAATTTGTAAGAATCAAGCGAAATGTTGGCCGATTGCTACAATGAATTCCAGTTCGATCTAAGGGATAAATACTTCAAAAGAAAAAATAAAATAAAATCTATACGATTCAGAGATGAAGCTAAACAATCCTAGAACTTAGAACCAGAAGAAATGAGAGATGGCGGCGTACCAGCCTGGCAATCTTTCCAGTTCCTGTTAGTTTTGATAAGACATTCCTGAAAATTATGGTGATCAAGACAATAAACATCAATTTGCAGTTCAGGGCTTAGGGTTTTAGCAGAACGTAAAAAAGAAGAAGATGACGATCGCAACGGCCACGAAGAACCTGTAACGATAAGTAGAAAGAGGAGCATTCATTGAGCTGCTTGACGTTCTCGTCGTCGGCGTCAGCGTCGCTCCCGTGAAGAGGCGGCTGATTCTCCGGCGAAATCGGCGGATTCCCCATTTTTCTTCGTTCAGGTACGACGCTAATTTTACAGGCAGTTCGAACTGCTCAAGTCAAGGGAATAATTAAGATGGGATTTTCCTGTATTATAGTTTTTTTTTTTTTTTCATATTAACGTTACTTATTTTTAATTAAAATTAAAAAATAATAATAATTAACTATAGTAAATTATATTATACTTTTTCAAATTTTTATACAGTCAAACTGGGATCTTCAATGGGATCTCATAATTTGAAATCTAATAGTCAAATATGCCTGTTAGCAAATATTGTCCTCTATGTATTTTTTTTTTTCTTCAGATTTTCCCTCAAGGGAGTGGATTGTTAGATCCCACATCTCGGTTGGAGAGGAGAACGAACTATAGCTTATAAGGGTGTGGAAACCTCTTCCTAACAAACGAGTTCTAAAACCGTGAAACTGACAATGATACGTGACAGGCCAAAGCGGACAATATCTACTAGTGGTGGACTGGGCTGTTACATAAAATGAATAAAAGTGTTGATTCGAGTACAACTCACTAAATAAAATTTAAACCCTAATAAATCGAATAAACGTGTTCACTCGAGCACAACTCACTAGATAATCCCCAAACTCTAATAAAATGAATATACATGTTCATTCCGCTTGAATTTACTAGATAAATCCTAAACTCTAACGAGTAAACGTATTCATTCGAGCAGCTCACTAGACAAACCCTAAATCCTAATAAAACGAGTAAATGTGTTCATTCGAGCAGCTCAATAGACAAACCCTAAACCCTAGTAAAATGAGTAAATGTATTCATTCGAGCACAACTTGGTAGATATTATACTCAGCCCATTTGTTCCATCCACCAAGAGTTGGATCATCAAAAGCCCAATGCCCATTTCGAAATATCAGTAATTCAAAAAATTTAAAATTTAAAATTTAAAAAACAAAACAAGATATTATCTTCATTTTAAAATAATAATAAGATCGCATATTCTGATAGAAAAATTAAAACTATTTAAAAACCTATTCTCATAAACATAACCCTGATTAACTGAAGGATGAGAGGTTCTTTAATGGCGGACGCGGAGGCTGTGATAGCCGAGAAAACCATTACGAAAAGGATCAAAAATCTGATTGAAGAGTACAGAAATATAGACGAGATGGCTCCCCTTATGGATCGGCTGGATTTGTTGAAGAAGATGAACGCATTGAGAGGCGTAGTGGAGGAATGGGCGGAATGTCTGGCCTTCTGCAACTTGGCGAAGTTTTTCAAGCCCAGCAATCATGGCGGAAACATTATGAGGAAGACGATGATGAAAAGAAAAACGAAGAAGAAGAGCAACAAAATGAAACGGAAAGCCGGCCAAAGCTTCAAAAGATGAGTAGAAATTGTTCTTTTGGATTTTGGATTTTGGATTTTGGATTTTGCAATTTGTGTGTTCAATTTTTTTGTTGCACAAAACTAGGGTTCTTTCTGAATTTGAAAGAGTAAAATTGTTATCGGTTCATACTCAGATCGTTTCAATTCACTTGGCTAAAACACTTACCGATCATGCTCGAATGAATATCTCCGTTGGTAAATCTCAAATGAGAAGATGATCTCTTACGTCGAGGAGTTCTGAAGAATGAACAACACGAAAATGATCATCAATTGTTTTAAGCAGTTTTGAAAGAAATAATAAAATAGGTTGAATTCGTGTATTTAGTGCCAAAAACAATGTGTACTCCTCTTTCGTTAATTGTGGAAGTTGAGGACCATATACCGATTCCGTTCTTCGTCGATTTTTTGGATCATCCTCCGAAGGATAAGAGCAAAAGAAGTCTTGAGGTTTTTTTTTTTTTTTTTTTTTT